GAAGAGCTGAATCAATTAAGCTCTCTAAGGTTGTCTCAGTCCCAGGGCTGGCCCTTAGGAACAATAGTGCTTTTGGCAAACTTCTAATTTGGCATCCTTTCTTTGGAGGAGTGAGGCTAGAGGTGACCTGGGGTAAGGGTGGTGCTAGGCTGGAGGGGCTCAGAGCCATCAGCCACACACAAGGTTGGACTTGGGGCTGAAAACTCACAACGCCTGTGTAACTACCTCAGGAGACCTTGAGGGGTCATGACCAATTTGTGTAGTGGGGGTGCTAAAACAACTGAACCAAACTATCCACCTTGTCTATGATAGAAACCACTTCAAATTAGGGAATGTGGAGCAAATACCTCCAGCACCCCTAGTTCCAGCACCTATGGTCATGACCCCCGTCTGAGCACCCCTGGGCTAATGGGTGGTTACACCAGGCTTTCTCTTCCTGCATTCACCTTCGATTTCCTCTGAACGTGGGCTCCTCGTGCACCTTGCCGAGGGACCAATTCTGCAGCCTGACTCCCTCTCGCCCACTCATGGCAGTTCCCACCAGTTACTGAAATTCCCTTTGCTGACAAGTGCTCACACATCCCTTTTTCAGCTGCAATCTCCCCCCCTCCACCACACACACACATTGAGCTGCCTACTTCTACCCCGCCAATCCTGCACTGCTACTGCCCAGGTTGTCAAAGTGTGCCTGGGCTCTCAAGGAACTAATGGCCCATCCCAGTGTAGCTGTCTGCTGTGAAAGCCGCCATGGGCAGGTGTCTCCCGAGCGCTGGGCAGTGTGTGGGCAGGAGCAGGGAGAGTGCTGAGGTCTGGGTTTTACTGGGGAAAGAATGTGATGAGCTCTGTTGTTCCAACTGCAGTGTGGCTGAGGTCTAATGTTCAGTCTTCAAGGCTGTTTCCAGAGCTCTATAGTAGCACAAGAGAAGCATGGCTTTTGCATAGAGATTCCTGTTGCTTTGACTCTCTCAGGCCATGTCTATACTTACCCGTGGATCGACACTCCGGAGGTCAATCTTCTGGCGTTCAATTTAGTGGGTCTAGTAAGGACCCGCTAAATTGAACGCTGGGGGCGCCCCCATTGACGTCAGGACTCCTCCTCATGAGGGGTAAGGGAATCAGACAGGAGCATTTCTCCTGTTGACCTCCTACTGTGGGGACAGCACCAAAATGTGAAGTAAAGTACATCGACTGCAGCTGTGCAATGAACGGAGCTGGAGTTGTGTATCTCAGTTCGAACTTGCCCCCTATTGTAGATTTGGCCTAAGTAAGAGAGCATCTGTTTTTGTCATTTGATTGTCTTGTTGTAGGCAAAGAGAGAAGCCTGAGTGCTGGCTGGAGCCAGGGAATCTGCACAATTTGCCCTCCCCTTTTGCCCCAGCTCTGCAAGGGTAATTGCCTCTCCCGCTAGTCCAGCTGTGAGACCTCACATGCTGTTCAGCTTGTGCACTGCACTCCTGAGCTGTGCTCTTCTACTGCCATTCATGGCTCTGCCAAAGCACCCCAGTCCTGACCTGCTGTACCCCGGCACATGAGTTCCAGTCTTGGTTCTCCTCCCATTGCCCCAGGCAGCCGCAGCCTACCCACCTCGGTCCGGAATTGCCCCGAAGGAGCTGCTGGTGAGCGGAGGCAGGCAGCTGTGCTGCAGTGCATGGGGTTTCTCAGCTATCGACCTGTGCCCACTGGGCACTCTGATGTGAATAGGAAGCAGGTTCTGGGGACGAGGGGAGGCAGGAGAGCAGCCCGGCTCTCTGGAGGTGAACTGCAGCAGGAGGGGTTTGACTGAGCTACTGCCCCATTTGGAACCATTAACGAGCCGTGTTGTGGCTAACCCTGTGCTTAGACCTTCCGGCTCTGGTGCCCAGCTCCATCGGACAGGCCAACCGAAGCACCACCTTGCATGGGCCAAACAGCTTCTGCCTTTTCCATAAGATTTAAGGCCACCTATATTGCTTTATAGCCCGGGGTGAAAGTAACTTACCGGTACTGTCCTGTCACAATCTGCCCCTTCTGGGGGTGGAGGGAGGGGAGAAGCGCAGGGCAGGAGGTGAGTGGTTTGCAATATGACAACGCCTGTAAAAAATGTAAATGTGGGGTGGAATGTGGGGGGCTCAGAGCAGAGGGTTGGGATGTGTGGGGGTGCAGGAGTCAGGTCAGGGGGCTAGAGATGTGGGGATTGCAGGCACCAGGGTTGGGTAGTATGAGGGGCTCAGGGCAGGGGGCCGGATTGGCAGTGTATAGGGTAGAGTTTGGGATGGGAGGCTCGGGGTTGGAGCAGTCCTTCGTGGCCTTGCCCTGCATTGCTCCTGTTCCCAACCAAATGGGAGCTGTGGGGGCAGTGCTACTAGGCACAGGATTGGAGCTAAGGGTGCTGGACATCACTGGGGTCCTGGATGTCAGCCCCACATGCCCAGGGCTCTCCAGCCACCAGCCCTGCTCCACCCCTGGGATTCTGGCTGCCTGCTCCATGTGCCTGGAGCTCTCCTGGCTTCCAGCCCCACATGTCTGGGGTCTCAGCTGCCAGCCTCAACTTTGGGGTAGGGGCAGGATTAAGGCCTTGCCTCCAGATGGCCAATTTCTTTCTGTTGTGTCGCCCCCAGATGGCCAATTTCTTTCTGTTGTGTCGTACTGGGGCACACTGGCTTAACTTCACCTCTGTTTATCGTTTATTTTGGTTTGCATGTGTTTGGATGGAGACAACCCATGTTCCATGTTGTCTACTTAAAACCAAAGACATGAGAGCATAAAACAGGCATCAGAATGATAGAAAACAAGCAAAATGATGTAAACTTGACAACAAAGCACTACTGAATCGACTATTAGCATATGGTGTTGAAGCAGGCAGGGGCTTTATGAAATACTCTGCCAGGCCGGAGGCTGGGCACCCCACACGGGGGAACATGGTGCTTTAATACACTGGTAAATAAATGCTGTAGGCCAAGCCTGGTCTCTCTTGCTCTGCCCTACATTACTCCACAGTAAGTGGGATTGATGTACAATGTCCTTTACTGACTCCCATTGCACGTGCTCCTGGTTCGTGGCAGTGCAACTGAGATTAGAATTGGGGCCCATCCTGAGTCCAGTGAAGCTGCACCTGTTTTGTCCATATCTCAGTTTGCTCAAGTGGTTTTAAACGTCAGAAATGAGGCAGGGCCTGGAAACTCGTAAGAGACCTGCCTTCGGCGGGAGCACATGGAAGGAGGCTGGGAGTGATACTAAGAAGCTGATCAGGGCCTTTTATCTCTACCTGTTCAATTTGACTTAGTAAGTGAGCCCAGCCCAGTAGCGGGGCAGGGAAATGCGTCCTCCATACAGGATGTGCAGGGACAGAAACACTAGCCCTGGGCAGTTCCTGCTGCCCTGACAAGTGGGGCTGAAGATGGAGCAGAGACCAGGCTGCGGGCTGGACCAGCCCCCTCGTAGCTGACTGAGTTAGTTACTGAACAGAGCTGTGGCGTATGATTGCTCCATATTTTATTAGTCAAAGGCTCCCGTTGGGATGAGGGCCCTCGCTGTGCTAGGCGCTGTCCAGTCAGACAGGGAGACCAGCCTGTAGCAGGCAGAAGCGTCCATGTGAAATAAGAGGGCAGAGGGTCACAGCTGGGCACATTTGGGGTTTAAAACGCTTTCCAGGAAACCTCTTCAGCCCATTTTCTCTTCCCTCTTAGGTTGCCCCTGCCAACCTGCTTTGGCATTGCTGGCCGGGTTCCTCTTGCCCCAGTCTGCCCCTCCCCCTTCCACAGAAACAGCTTTAGGCTCCAGAGGGCGGGGGGGAAGCCAGAGTTACAGCCTGACACAAAGTATCTCAGGGCTCCCGGCCAGTCCACCGGGGCAGGGTGCAGAGACCCCTCATGGCCACCCCTTCCCCTGCAGTGACTGGTGGCAGCTCTGCACAGCCTCTCCCTGCCGGGTAGGTGCAGCTCCGCGGGTTAATTAAAATGACTGCTAGACGCAGATGGTGCTTGGCTGCAGGAGGCCTGCTGAGCATGCATTAAAAACAAGAGCCAATACTTTCACTGGTGACCCATCAAATCCTGTTAAAATGCAGCCTTTTAACCATAGGGCAAGAGAATTGCTCTCCCCTTGCATCCCCAGTCCCCCCCACCCCACATTTTCTTTGCTCTAGGGGCTGCCAGCCAGTTCCCTTCTGCAGAACACCTCCTGTGGCTCTGATGCTGGTTTTTGCACATCCTAGCATCCTCCAGGCTGGGATGCTGCCCAGGAACTTAGTGCCTGCTACACAGTCACTCTCCAAAGGCATCTCTGGGCCTGACTCTCCTCTCACCCTAGTGCAAATCACAAATCCTGTTTGCATCAGTGGTGAGCACCTGGTGTAAAGGGGAGGAGAATCTGAGAGGAGAATACTAAGCAGTACTCACCTGCATTCACCAGGCGTATTTCTTGCTGCTTTTTGCAACAGTCAGCAACTCCCAATCTTGTAGAGAGATGGAAAAATAAGGGACGTCCCTGGTTGCGAGAGGCTGTTGGCAGCTTAGCTGAGCTCAGATGGTGCCAGCATGTGCAAGTGAAAAGGAATTTGCTTCACCTGTACAAGAGAGGAAGTGCAAGGAGGACAGCTATATGGGCTCTAATACTTACCGCCCTGGAGCGGCAAAGGAACAAGGGAGCACTGACTGGTCCTACTAAATGCCAGGCAGTGTAAACGCTGTTTGTCAGCACTTTAGTCAGCAAAATACTTCCACCCCCGAGGAGCAGGATCAGCATTGTGTACAGAAGTGTGCTCCTCCTGACTATGAGCTCTTGACACTGCCACTTGCTGCAGCAAAACTTGTTTGGGGGGAGGAGTTTAAGCACCTGTGAACAACAAAAGTTTTGTCATTCAATTGGCAGAGTAGACAAAGCCTGAGATGACATTGATAATCTGATTGGGTGTGACAGGACCTTGCAATCAATCTTAGCCAATCACTGGGTAGGACATAGAGGGAAAAAAAGGGCAGCCAATGATGACTAAGTGGTAAATAATGTGGCCAGCCTTGGGATGGTGTAAACTTTCCTTTGGGACATGCTCATGACCTCAGCTCCGCTCCCTGGAGTGTGCTTGAGGAGGGAAGGCTGGCGACAACACACCTCTGGTCAGTGTGAATACTAATCTCTACGTAGGATTTGAAGTAGGATTTAATAGCAGCCGAGTCAGACCCATGTCCCGTGTGGCTATTAACTCCTAGGAGTAATGCCATCTGTGCAGGCTTTTCTCAGAGCCATCAACGGAAAATAATGGCTGAAGAAAACACGGACTTGAAGACCATTTTGCGAGAAGGTAAATTGTTTCCCAAGTCACTTAGAAGAGGCGTGCACTTTGCTGTTGTGGTCTTACTCTGCCAGCCTTTGATTGCAGTCATTCTAATGCCTGTGCCTACTATTTTGATGTGGGCAGGTTTGATTGCGTTGCTTTACCTTAAGCACAGCTCCCAAGTAATGTCGATAGGTTTTTGGTCTTAACTGCATCTTCTGCTGTGTTTTTTAGAACAACCAGAAAGCAGAGTAGCATGGGATCACAACTAAGTCCCAAGGGCAGTAACTGTGGGTTCATTGCTGGAAATATTGATGCCCAGGGTCTGTCTATCCATCTGCTGCATCAAGCAAAATTCAGACAAGCTCCCTGTCTGAAAAGTCCCCTTGAGACTAACAAGTGTTAAAGGAAGGCAGGAGTAAAATGATCCAGGACAGGGTTTGAGCCAGGGAATCTACTACAAGCTCAATAGGAAAGATAATAGCTTTGTTGTAGCGGCATGGGGGCAAGGCTGGCACAGTGTCTGTGTTGGAATAAGAACCCAAGCGTCCTCAATTCCTAACACTCACTACCTTTTCTCCCTGCCTATGAAGATCCAGATTCTTTCCTGAAATCAGCTCGCCTCCAGCGCCTGCCGTCCTCTTCATCGGAGATGGGCAGTCAGGACGTCTCGCCGCTGCGGGAGACCAGCAAAGACCCATTCTCTGGGGACTGCAGCTGCCGCCAGGATGGTCTGACGGTGATCATCACTGCCTGCTTAACCTTCGCTATGGGCGTCACGGTAGCCCTGATCATGCAGATCTACTTTGGGGATCCACAGGTAAGCGGAGGCTGTTTTGTTTAATGGCCAATAGCCTAGATATGGGAAGAATTGTCTGCTGGGAATTACAGCTTCCTCCTTGGATCTCGGCAATTCAGATACCCCAGCACAAATGCTGGCAATGCCCCAAAGTGACTGGAGAATTGACATCGGGAGCCTCCGCACTGATTCCCTCTCAGGGAGTCCAACAGCCAGTGGCAGGATCTGAGAGTCAAGCCAACTTCTCTCTGCTTTGGCACCATCACTGCGGACCGAGATGCTGCAACCAGGTTTATCTGTGAGGTTTTGATGCTGGTGCATGAGAGAAATAGAGTCCATGCTGGCTGACTCTGTGGCTCAAGCAGAAGTAAAACCCGTACCCGAATATATGCAGAAGGCAGCTCTGGTATTAAGTCAGAAGGCACAATTGGTACATAGTCATGTTTCTGACAGTCACAGGGCGAAGCGATAGTCTTGCTGGTCTGTATGGTACGGGTGCACCTGTCATTGGAGGGGATAATTTTTAACTGGGATTAGGCAGTGTAATTGTTTAAACTACAGTGGAACCCTCTGCTATTTCCTGCTCATGCCTTATGTTTTACACACTGGCAGTGCTCCCCACTTCACTGCAGGGGTTTCACACAGAGGCAGCACTGCTATGCGGGCCCATAAGAACGGCCACACTGGGTCAGACCATCTAGCCCAGTGTCCTGTCTTCCAACAGTTGCCAGTGCCAGATTCCCTGGTCTGTTCACTCCCTCTGGGGCATCATCAAGTGATCCCTCCCCTGCCATCCATTTCCAGCCCCTGACAAACAGAGGCTAGGGAAACCATTCCTACCCATCCTGGATAATAGCCATTGATGGACCTGCCCTCCATTAATTTATCTAGTTCTTTTTTGAACCCTGTTAAAGTCCTGGTCTTCACAACATCCTCTGGCAAGGAGTTCCACAGGTTGACTGTGCATTGCATGGAGAAGTACTTCCTTTGGTTTGTTTTAAACCTGCTAGCTATTAGTTTCATTTGAAGACCCTTGTTCTTATGTTATGGGAATAAATACATAACTTTCCCTTACTCACTTTTTCCACTCGTCATGACTTTATAGACCTCTATTGCATCCCCCCTTAGTTTCCTCTTTTCTAAGCTAAAAGTCCCAGTCATTTTAATCTCTCTTCATATGGGACAGTTCCAAACCCCTAATAGTTTTTGTTGCCCTTTTCTGCACCTTTCTAAGACTGTTGCTTTGACAAAATAGTTGACAGAACATTTACTAGTGTGCAGTGATGTTATGTAACTGGGGTGCGTGTGTTGCAAACAGGTGTCAATGGATGCTGCCTTCCCCGTACTACTCCACGAGGAGAGGTCATGGCTAGACGTCCTGGGTCAGATCTCAGAATGGGAAAGGAGCGTCCTTGCTCTTTCAATTATTTCGGCTGTTGCTGATGCCCAAAGTTCATTTGCAATAGTTATCTGTTTAGGTAGCCGTTTGTCTGTCTGTCTACGGGGTGTTTTTACGGTGCCTAGGTGCTGAGCATAGGAAAAGCAAACCGTTTCCTGATCGTATTTGACAAATAACCAGGACATGCTGTGGGGGTCGTGTTTAGATTAGGGATGTTAAATATCAGTTAATTGTATAGTCGAGTAACCTCATGAATTTTTATTGGTTTGTCAGCTGTTCTACAGCTATTCTGCCACTGTATCAGAGGCAGCAGCACGGGGTGCCAGGCAGGAGCTGGTCCATGAGGGAAGCCAGTTTAAAAACCAGCTCCCCTTGTGGACCGGCTGCCTGTCGCCCAATGCTGCTGCTTCTGATACAGAGGCAGGAGCATAGGGGGGCAGCAGGACTGTCTGAGCTCCCGGACCTGGCATGAGCCAGAACTGATCTGGGCTGCCTGCCCACGCATCTCCTAATACATTTTAAATGCAGAGCCGCAGTGGGCTAGGTCCCAGACCCTGCACAAGCCGGGACTGAGCCAGACTGCTGGCCAGCCTGGTAAAAAATTGACTGTGAAGGTGGGAGAGGGAAATGCGTGTAGTCTATAGCATTAACCGATAAGCTTTGGCTAATCAGTTAATTGTGTACACTATTACATCTCTATTCCCAAGTGATAGTTGCTAGGACACAGAAGAATTCCTCTACCCACCTAGCTGCATTTACACTAAAGGAGTAGCGCTCAGTGTAGGTTTTCTTAAAAGTTTTCATGGGGTTTTGAAAGCAAAACATGAAGAGGTGTGAGTAGAAGGAAGAGGCCAGCTGATCCCAGCCCTGTCCAGATGCCAGCTGGGATCATAACAGAACGTAATATACCTAGGGTAAGAGCGTATGTAAGACCCGCTGCATTAGGGCGTTGGGCCGGGGGCACTTTACCAATAGCCATGGCTGAAGGCCTTTTTGTCTAAGGAAAATGCAGGTCGGGCACCGTCTCAGCTCCAGCATAATTAGGAATCTAACTGCTCAGCCATGTACAGGTCAAAACCAACCCCTTGAATTGCACCCAGACACAATCCATCTTCTGCGGCCTGTGCTCGCGATGGGCCCCAATTAGGCCTTGCTGTAGGACTGAATAGGAGTGTGGGAAATAACCCTTCCACTAGCAGACTGTGCTGCCTTTCTCCTGATGCAGGGGTTCTCGGCCTTTGTTTTTCTGAGCCCCCGCCCCCCCATGCTATAATAACTCCATGTCTCTGGTGTTTCAGCTGGGGGCCAGTGTTGAGGGGTAGCAAGCCAGGGGTCCCTGCGAAGCTAAGTTGCTTAGGATTCTGTTCCAGCTCCAGGCAGTGGGCCTCAGGGTTCCTAGCTTCGGCTCTGTGTGGCCTGGCCTAGGCTCCAGTGAGTCCAACACTGGTCCTCCTTGGCGGACCCCCTGAAACCTGCTCGTGGCCCCCAGGGGACCCTGAACCTTTGGTTGAAAACCACCATCTTTTGCTTCTCCCAGATATTCCATCAGGGCGCCGTGGTGACCGACGCGGCCCGCTGCACAGCGCTCGGCATCGAAGTGCTCAACAAGCAGGGATCCTCGGTGGACGCAGCCATCGCTGCAGCTCTGTGCTCAGGAATCATCAACCCCCACACGTCCGGCATCGGCGGGTAGGTGCAGCTGGTCGCTGTGCTCCCCTCTGCTGAGAGGCCCTGCTCTGTGTGCCTGGGTGCTGAAGGGGCTGCAGAGCACCAGGAGGGCCCTGGCTCTGGGCACTGCTGGGCCAGGAATCTTTGCAGGGCTTTGCCGGGGAGCTGAAGGGAGTTCCTCTCTGCGCTGCAGCCCCGGGATGGCCCTGTGCTCCGGTAGGAGACTTGGGATCGCAAAGTGTCAGTCAGCCTCCTTTGGGCACCCTCCGCTTCTGCTACTTCATCACTGTCGGGATGGGCCCTAACGAGCTCTTCGCAGCCCGGGGTGGGGCTACACGGATCCTTCTGCTCTCTCTCTGCACAAGGCTGGCCACGCTTGGCTTTGCTCTTCCTGAGCCTCTTCCAGGCCAGTGCAGATGGTGATATTAGCCTCCCCAAAGCGAGAGGGCTCTGGCATCACCCTTGGCAGCAGCCAGCAGAGCCGGGGGAGAGTGGGGAGTGCTTGGAAATCAGCCTGACACGCTCCTCTCAGTCATGCATGTGGCATCTCCTGCTGGGGAGAGTTGCCATTGCGCCCCCCATACACACATGCACGCAGGTTGTGGCTTTACTGGTGCAATCTAGCCCTTAATCTAAACCACCTTGCTGCCTGCTGGTAGGGAGGCATAGGTGGCCACCAAATGATTGTGTCAGGGCTGGGTCAGAGCCTTTCTCTCTTCCTTCTGGCTGTTTTGCACTGGCCATGTGCCAAGGGCTGGGAGAGTGGCATGGCTGGAGCGTGCTGCACTCTGGTTGAAGGGTCCTTAAAAGGCAGGTCCAGCAAGCACAAGTGAGAGCAGCCCTGAGCCTACTCAGGCATGTGTAGGTGGACCTGGCCCCGGGGTTGGGAGAGGCTAAGAGGTGGAGGAATGCTCCCTAGTTCCCTTCCCCCCACCCCAGGTGGATCTGTCCTGGTGGTTTTGGAGACCTGCATAAGATTTTGTTACACCTGTAAATCTTGGCCTTGTCACTGCAGCAGCAGAAGCAGCAGCATGTTCTGTAGTGGGGGAGGGGTTCCCTCAGCTCATGGTGGGATAAAGTGAGGGTGAGAAAATCTAATCTGGAGAAACATGCAAAGTGAGGGGGTTGGGGAAGGTGCCAGCTGCATCCTCTTGGACTCCATGTGCCCCCATCTGAGTCTAGCCTATTGCCTGGAGCTGCTGCCTCCTTTTGGTGTTAGTTTGAAAGATGTTATGCAAGTGAGGCTTAAACGTTCCACTCACCGGGACAGGACGTCCCGGGAATGTTGCATAAATGCTGTCACCTGATAACGCCTCATCATCTTAGACTCAGAATATTTTGTTTGTAAGTAGAAACCCTAGTTTGATCCCAAAGCCTGTTACTCAATCTCTGTTTTGGATAAAAAACAAAGCCAAGCAAACCACAAATGGATGGACTGGCTGAGAATGGATTTAGGAAATGTGCGATTTCCCCAGGACATCCGAGACACAGCGTTCCCATGTTCTAACTGGGGATTCGAGTATCAAGTGAATAGTGATATTTTGAACCAACATTCACTCTTCAGACCTGATTCTAATTTACACTGAGGTCTCTTACGGCCACTCTGGAAGTATGGACCTGCCTTAAAATGGGCAGAAACATCCTACTAAGAATGCCTCCTGAGCAGAGGTTATCCCTGTCCTGCTCCTCATGTCCGGTGTGGAGGTGGAACGGGAGCATGTTAAAGGCCTGGTTAAATTACACTGCACTGTGGCTTTTCTCCACTTCCCAGGGTCCCCAAGAAGCAGCACATTAGTTACAGCAGTCCTGGGGCTGCTATAATCTACACTAGAGGTTAGGCAGGCCCTTGTAGAAACATTAAATATGGAAACACATAAGGTGGGTACCTTCACCTCACCACCATCCTGTGCATGGAGTAACTGGCAATTGGCCCATCTGTCTCTCACAAGTTTCTGTCCTTCAAGCTGCTCCTCTTTCTCTGGGCTTAATTAGGGCTGTGTTTATTCTTCCCCAGAGACACAAATAAAGGTCTATCCACCTCCACACACGCACATTACCGCGTATGTGTCTTCCTCTGCAGTGCGTGTCAGGGAGCAAGGTTGGGCCAGGTTATTTAATCACAAAAATGCCCTTAGTTCTAAGGCTGAATCGCAGCTCATGTAGACATACCCACGCCAGCTGTATTCTGCCTCGCTCACTGAAAAGAGAAGTGAGGTTGGTATGGCACCAGCTTCAGTGTAGGCTGCACAAGCTGGCCTGATACCCCGCTGCCCCGGGGGGGACGGACAATGCCCAAGCCTGCACCACAGTGTCCTCACTTCTGTTTGAAAAGATCCCAGGTCTGGAGGTTGAATCTGTATAAATTAGAGCGAAACGGTTTTGTTGAAGAATTCCCAGTGGAACGTGCTGATTCATCAAAACCAGAATTTTTCATGGGAATGTGTCAGTCATTAAACTTTTGTCAGGAAGCTTTCTCAGGTGCAGGATGGAATGTCTGGTCAAAATGCGAGTGGGCGAGACTAAGCATGGGGCAATTAGCTATTCTGGGCTGGGTGGGATGAGGGGGAGGGTTGTGAGAAAACTATTGAAAGGTCTCAGTTTCATTCCAATGGAGCCCCTTTTAGACTTGGATTTCGTATGCCCCCATGTCTGAGCTGCAAATCCGTGGCAATCCGCTTCATATCCACAGCTATGGATGTGGATATCTGCAGCTCATCTTTGCAGATGCGGATGTGGATGCAGACACAAATTTTGTATCTGGAACTTTGCAAATGCGCAGCTATCCACTTTGTAGCGGCGGGTATCCGCATCTGTGGGTATTCGCAGCTCATTTTTGCAGATGCAGATGTGGATACAATTTGTATCCACGCAGGGCTCTACTGATATTTTTGGAGCCAGTGTTTTGGTCTGTCCCATTATAAAAATGGAGCCATTTGCAAAATGTTAGTCTTGCTTTAGATTTCAAATGCCCTCTTCAGGGTTTTGACTTGTGCCCACTTGTGCTTTGACTGTGTGGATCAGTCGTACTCATCTTACAATCCGAGCTCAGAGCTTGGGGTCTGAAACACAGACTCTTCCTGCTCCTCACACCCTGCAGATTCTGTCCTTGGCATCAGCTGACAGGGGGAGGAGAAGTTGCGCAAAGCCGAACACTCTCCCCTGGCAGTGCTGGCTCTGCCTGCCAAATGCTTGTGTGTGCCAGCAGAGCCAGCAGATCCCAGTGTGCAAGGAGCAGACGTATTGAGTGAGAGGACTCCATTTGTACAAGCATAGTGGTGTCAACCCCAGATCCCTATGCTCCCCTCAGCTCCCTGCACAGAGGGCTGCTGGTGGCCCTGCCTGCCCCCCAGCTTAGGGCTACAGTGGTATGTGCTCGGGCAGTCTGGGGGGACGGCAAGGTGCTCTGTGTGCCCAAGGCACTCTCTCTCTGCAGGGGGGGAGTGATGCTGGTCCACGACATCCGGAAGAACGAGAGTCAGGTGATTGACTTCCGAGAGACGGCCCCCTTGGGGATCCAGGAGGAGGGCCTTCGGGAGGCCTGGGAGATAAAGGTGAGCGAGAGAACTTGTATATTTTCTTTTTGTGGGGTTTGCTTTCTAATGTTGCCAGGGCTTCTCCTTCCATCCCCCATTAACCCAGATTCCCGTCAATAATGGGTGTGCAGCAAGCGGTGGGGGCCAGTGACTCAGAGGGTAACGTAGCCCTGGTGGGAGGGGCAGTCCCGAAAACTCTAATCCCCGCTTCCCAGAACAGGTACAAGCAGAGGACAAGCATCCTCACCCCCCTGCAGCTCCTCAGTCCAGCTCCGGAGCCATTCGCTCCAGGGCTGAGGGGCAGTTCCGTTTCCATGGCCTGTCCCCCGGAGCCTGCCGGCAGCACGGCAAGGTTTGTCACTTCTGAGGGTGCTCTGGTTTTGTCCACTAGGAGCTGAACTGAGACTCACCACAGGCCACAGAACCCTTAGGTGGTGCTGACGGTCGGTGCATTATTGGGCCCGTCTAGGTTAGCCCTAGTGGCCGAGAGGGGAAGTGTTTCATGAGCAGCCGAGAAATCCCTTGAGCCTGTGAGTCTGACTGGAAATGAGAACAGTGAGCCAGGCCTGGGGATCGGGGAAATTCCATCAGATCAGTCTCCCTCAGAGCGTGGGAGCCCAAGGAGATAGGAGCCTACGGGCATGTCTGCATGGCAAAACCCAGGAGGGACACGTTTCAGAGCCTGGGCCTACGGACTTAGGCTTGCACCATGGAGCTAAAAGTTGCCATGTAGACAGATGGGCTTGGACTTTGAAACCTGGGAAGGGGGTTGGGTTTCAGAGCCCAAGCTCCAGCCTGAACTTGACTGTCTAATGAAGTTAATGGGTGGCAGGTTTAAAACTAATAGAAGAAAGTTCTTCACACAGCATGTAGTCAACCTGTGGAACTCCTTGCCAGAGGAGGCGGTGAAGGCTAGGACTATAACAGAGTTTAAAGAGAAACTAGATAATTTCATGGAGGTTATGTCCATAAAAGGCTATTAGCCAGGGGATAGAAATGGTGTTCCTGGCCTCTGTCTCTCAGAGGTGGAGAAGGATGGCAGGAGACAAATCGCTTGATCATTGTCTTCGGTCCACCCTCTCTGGGGCACCTGGTGCTGGCCACTGTGGGCAGACAAGATACTGGGCTAGATGGACCTTTGGTCTGACCCAGTCTGGCCATTCTTATGTTCTTATGTCTATGTGGGCATTTGTAGCCCCCTGGCGCGAGCACGGCGCAGCAGAGGCTGTGGACCCAGGTGGTGAGACTCGCTGCTCTGGGGGTTTTGTCACATAAACAGACCTTTAGAAATATCCAAAATGATGGAGAGATACACAGCAGAAGCTACATGTCTCAGGCTGAGTTCACCCATTGGCTGCAACCAGGTTACGTTAGGAATGAATTTGCCCCACTTTCTTCCCAAAGCTTTTACTCCTTAGCTGTGTTGTCACCGCCCCTTGTGTCTAAATTTCTGGCTTCTTCAGCATCTGTCACTTTGGAAAACAGAATCAAAGAATCCTAGGATTGGAAGAGAGCTCCGGAGGTCGAGTCCAGCCCCTCATGCTAGGACCCTTCTGCATGACGAGCTATTGCCCCTTCTTTATGGCCATAGGAGACCGTGTCCTTAGGGTGATTTGACTTTCTGTGCTTCCTTTCATCCAGCCGGGTCTCTTGGTGGGGGTGCCAGGCATGATCCAGGGAATGCACAAAGCCCATCAATCGCACGGGAGGTAAGAAATTTCACATGCATTGGTTCTGCACAGACGGCACGCTGCTGAAAAGTGTTGCTGGATAAAACACCCACTTAATCCAACTCGTCAGCTGCCCAGGCTGTAATACTCCGATCAGCGGGGGATTCAGCTCTAGTGTGGCCTCCGTGGCTGCATGGTCTTGCTGGTGGCAGGGCCTGTAAACTGCCCAGCTCCCATGGCAAAGACTGGCTTGGTATTCTTGGCTAGGCTGTTGAATCACTCTCCCTTGGACTATGCTGTTTCCAGGTCTCGCCCTTTGAAGTGCAGCACTTTGATAGCACTTTTTGTCCCCAAGGCACTGTACAAACATGGGCAGGGGCTTTCAGACTTGCACACGTGCAATCACGGGGCTGATTTGTGTGTACACGTATCCCAGATTTCCCTGTGGCAGCTGCCCCAGGGCCCAGCATTGCAAAAGGAGTCGGAGCTCCTGACCACCACTGCCACTACCACTACTACGGCAATGGCAGCAGCCTGAGCCCCGGGACCTGTAAGCACCGAGGGCTGCCGGGGGGAGGCGTGGCCCGATGCAACAATGAGGACTGCCTAGCCCCAGCCCCGCCCCTTTGCCCCACCCCTTCCTCCTCCACACCTGCCCTGAGGCCCAGCGAGGCTGTTGGCCCCACTGCCTGTGTCACACGTCTATGGCCCTGTTTTCAGAGGAGCTGAGCAATTCAACTCATTGAATTCAGTGGGAGTTACAGGCACTTGAGCCCTGTGAAAACCAGGCCACAAACTTAGATAAAAACCTAACAAATAGAACAGTTTGAGTTTGTTCCTGTCTCCCCCACCACAAAAAACAAAACAAAAAAAGACCAAAACAAAACATTTCGTTTTGGGTTTGATGTTTCCTGGGTTTTCATGTTGTCAAAAATTCTGCAGAAATTTTCAGAAGAATTTTTTTCACTTCCTTCAAAAATGTGTCTGGGAAGTACTGCGGGTTCTGATCAGCTGTACCCCCAGGGACTCCTCACATCCGCCCTGGGCAGCAGGTCAGTATTGTCACAGCCACTGTATGGATGGAGCATGGAGGCGAAGTGTTAAGTGACTTCCCAAGGCTACACAGAGAGGCCAGTGTCCCTGTTCTGTGCTCTGGCTGCAGCAGAGACTTCCAGCTAACCATGTCCGGTCCCCGGGCTAGTCCCCTGAAGACAGCTCTGCTTTCACTATGCTCCCTTGCAAATGCAAATTTCTCTTTGTGTGTTTTCTTTGCCAGGCTCCTGTGGTCAGAACTTTTGGGCCTTGCTGCAAACATCGCCCAGGATGGATTCAATGTCACGCATGACTTGGGTGAGCGCCTCCCTGCAGCAAAGGGGTCCCCTGTGATGTGTGCCAGGGAGTGTTTCCTCTCACGTATGTTAAGGAAAAAGGGGGCTGCACGTACGTGTCTGGACTGTGGATGGGACTTAATGTCCTGGAATTCAATGCTCTTCAGTCAGGGAAATACATGGCATCAGGGCCGGAAATCAGGCTAGACCTAAGCAGGGAGGTACGAGAGACCCAGAACGGATCTTTCCTAGGTGGCCTCTTTGGTTTAGACTCACCTTGCATTAGAAACATGGAGCCAGATGCTGCACTACTGGGCTCCAGGAGTTCTCCCACTGGTAGGGCAGGTGGGTGCAGTGCAAATCCACGTGTCTGTCTGATCTAAGCTGGCTTGTTACTGGGGCACCTCTCACACTAATGTTCAAACGCCTCTTCCCCATAACTGTTCAGTGCGGGCTCGCCAATGCTAGTGCCAGCCTTCTGAACTGAAGCTGTAGTCCTGATTCTGGTTACTTTAGCACATTCACTGGAGCACTCACCTCTGCTGGGGCGGCTGCAGATGGCCAGACTGGGTCTAAAAGGGTCCATCTACACTGCAATTAGACAAGCATGGCTTGCCCGGGCCATCTGATTGGACATTGAACATCGGGCTGCAGGGCTGTAACTGGTGTAGAGATTTGGACTCAGGCTGCAGCCTGAGTTCTGGGACTATGCTGCCTGACAGGGCCCCTGCAATGCCATGGTCCGTGTGGTCGACCAGGCGGCAGATACAGGCAGTCCCCGGGTTACGTACAAGATAGGGACTGTGGGTGTGTTCTTAAGTTGAATTTGTATGTAAGTCGGAACTGGTACATATTGTAGGGGAAACTCTAGCCAAACATTTCTCCAGAGCTCAGTTTTATTCTCCCACACCTCACTTCCCTCAGTCCTTTATTCTCAAGCTGAGGTGTCTGCTGAGAAAAGCCGCTCTGCATCTCCCTGGTCTGCTGGGGGGTGCGCTAGCTTCACGTCTCCCTGGTCTGCTGGGGGGGGCGCTAGCTCCGCGTCTCCCTGGTCTGATGGGGGGAAGCAGCTAGTGCGGGGTTGCCTCACCCCGTTTGTAAGTAGGGATCCGATGTAAGTCGGATCCATGTAACCCGGGGACTGCCTGTATTGACACCGTCAGAATCAACCCCAGGCAACCCCATGCTGCCCCATGGCCGCTCCTCAGTAGTGCGTCAAGGTGAGTTTGTTCTGGCTATGGGCAGCCCTTTTGCTCTGCAGAACACCATCACCTCCAGCATGGTCAGCTCTGCCCAGCGAGGAGCGAAGCCTGGCCGATTCCAAGGGAGCACAATCAGACCTATGCTGCTAGGGATTTCAGGAACTCAGGGAGGCCCCTCAGCTATCTGGGTGGTGAGTGACTGGGGGGAACACAATGAAGGTGATTTCAGGTATCTCCTTCGACATCCCCTTGGACTGGCCATGGAAATTCTCCCCGAAGGGGGAACAGCGCAGGAGCTCCTGGTTCGGCAGTACGGAGATGAAGTGCCACTACGTCGGTGTGATGTACTAATACTGACCCCGTGTCCTGCCTGAACGCAAGCACTGAGACCCCCGCTTCCCTGATGTCTCGAATGGGGTCCTGATCCCCAAGGTGATCGGTGGCTCCCTGGCCCATTAGGCAGGTTTGAAGGCTGGTGATGTGCAGGAGATTAATGGCAGGCAGCGTGGTGCGTGGAGGACATCTGTGGGGCTGCATGGACGCAGAGCAGTCTGGCCATGCTGGAGCTGCACGCCCATGACATGACTCTGGTGAACGTCAGCCCCGAGGTTTATGTTCATGCATCAGACATTCTCCGTGTGCACACGTGTCCGTTGTGTTTAAAGCAGCTGGCGTTCTCTCTAGGCGCGGGGGAGGGGGGAAGACTTCACGCACTCTCCTCACACCCAGGCCGTTTAGAGTCTGTGGGCTGGGGAGCACACAAAGTCTCCTGGCCCCGTCCCTTCTGTCCAAGGCCCGGCCCCTTTCGGGGCAGTCTGGGACCACTTCAGAAATTTGTGAAGTGGCCCCTTTTTAACAATTATTGCCCACCCTGTCCTAGGTGGTCTCCTCCTGTAATACTGCTGTTACCTTTTTTGCCCAACAGCCAGAGCTATCACTGAACTGAAGGAGCTGAACTACTCGGACAAATTCAGAGAGACTTTCCTTCCAGAGGGCCAGCCGCTGTTGCCTGGAATGTTTATGAAGCGACTCGATCTAGCCACCATTTTACATCTGGTTGGCTCAGAAGGGGTCTCGGCCTTCTATAGTGGAAACTTGACCCAGGAGATTATTTCTGAGGTGAGCTATGTCTGCCCTAAACCTGCACATGGATTATTGCCTATTCATAGTGCAACTTAGCACAAGTAATAGTGACACCTAGTTGTTCCCTTATTTTAAATGAGGACTCATGTTGAGGGCGAGTGGTAGCCAGTATTGACTTGAATGATTAAATATAAAAATTTGGCGCTCAGTTTTTCTCCCACACGTGTTTAACTCCATCATGAAGTTAATCCTGACTTAAATCAGCACAAGTGACCAATGAAGTGGCACCATCAACTATGAAAGTGAAATCTACTCTATTGAAATGATCCTTCTGTAGTTTCTTTAGGTTAGAACAATTTCTCTTCAATTGGATAAGGTTTCGCAGCCATTTCTGTAGCACCCCATTTGTTTAATTCCTATTACATTGATAGGGCTAGGCTGTAAGGATTGAATGTTGAAGTTTTTGAATGAATTTAGGTCCTAATGAAGGTGCTGGAAGGCCTTGGAGAACAATTCTCCATTTGGCCACCAAGGAGAATCATTGTCCTGACTCTTTGCACATCAAAAAGCCACCATTCAGTACCAGGCAGAGTGTGTCTGAACTGGGGACCGTGAGGTGAAAGTTTATTACTAACGTCCTCTCCAGTGAAGACCCTATTCCCTGAACCTTTTCAAAGCATCTGAATCAGTGTCACAACCATAGGTAATGTAGCCAGCTTTCCCCTGGTGAGCACTGAGCTGCTTTTGTGTGAGTTACTGCTCAGAGAGGCCTCAATACTACCCAGGCCTCTGCCCATACTCACAATTCATCACTCAGCGGCTCTCCTTGGCTACGTCTAGATTGCATCCCTTTTTCGTAAAAGGGATGCAAATTAGACGTATCACAATTGCTAATGAAGCGGGGATTTAAATCTCCCACGCTTCATTAGCATAAAAATGGCTGCCGCTTTTTTCAGCACGGAGCTTTGCCGGAAAAAAGCGTCAGTCTAGACGCAGGTCTTTTGGAAAATAAAGCCTTTTCCGAAAGATCCCTTATCCCTTATTTTAAGAGCGATAAGGGATCTTTCGGAAAAGGCTTTATTTTCCAAAAGACCTGCGTCTAGACTGACGCTTTTTTCCGGCAAAGCTCCGTGCTGAAAAAAGCGGCAGCCATTTTTATGCTAATGAAGCGTGGGAGATTTAAATCCCCGCTTCATTAGCAATTGTGATACGTCTAATTTGCATCCCTTTTACGAAAAAGGGATGCAATCTAGACGTAGCCCTGGAGTTTTGAAACGTTAGTAATGTCTAAAGACAGAAGATTCCTGCAGCCCTGTAAATACGGCTAGATGTATAAAGGTGGGAGCATTATTGCTTGGTTAGACCACTGAACTCTGGGTTTTCTCTTGGGCTTTGTCACTGACCCCTGCACAAGTCACGTGACGTAGAGTGTGTCTACACTTGCTCCCTATCTCGAGATTGGGATGCAAATGTAGTGTACCGAAATTGCTAATGAAGCACGGGATTTAAATATCCCGCCAGGCTCTGGGGGGCGGCTTACACGCACACCAAGGACGTACTGCCTGCACAGTAACCTACTCCCCGGAGGGTCATCTGTTCCTTGCCACGACTCCCTGCTACTGGGCTATTGTCCCCACCTGAATCAGGCGTCCCTTTGCCCATCACTTGACTGAGTCCCGTGGTGAGTAAGTAGGACTGGAAAACTGGTCTGTTTAGAGTCTCTCTCCCGGGCTTGCCGGTAATCAGTTTGTGTAGAGTAGGGGAACCCGGACCCTCCCACACTTCCGGGCTCCAACCCCAGGACCCTAAAGTAAGGCCGCAATGACCTTACCTGAATGGTGAGCCGTGTATCCGCTACTCATCACCCCTCTCGGGGGGCTTTTAGTGCCGTCCTCCGACACCCCCTGTCCTGGGGCCACTCCAGGGTAGAGACCTGTCTTCTGGATGCTGGGTTGGATGCTTTGTCATCTGTGTTAAAATAAGCACGAAAGAATAGATCACACACATAAACGCTGCACTTCCTCATTTCCCTGGAGAGTAGGGATCCCTGCATGAGACCTTGAAAGTGAGTCCCTTCCCATGCTCATATTCATTGTACAAGTGCTCCCCAAATTCCATGGCCTGAGTGTGAAAAGCTGCTGTTTGCACTTTCGCCCTCGTTCTCACTCTCTCTCATTCTAGCTTTCGCTCTCTTTCTCGCTCTCTCACTTTCTTGCTCTCTCGCTCTCTCTCTCTCTCTCTCTCTCTCTCTTTCGCTCTCTTTTTCACTCTTGTGCTCTCTTTCTTGCTTGCTCTCTCTCTCTCTCTCTCTCTCGCTTTCACTCTCTCTCCCTCTTTCTCAGTGCAACAAAATATGCCAGACCATGGGATTTGGCTCCTGACTTAAGCCCATGCTGTACAGACATGCAAAGTGTTGATCTCACAGATAAGCTTAAAGCGGTTTGTTGTTTTGATTGAACAAGCGACATTTAAGATGTGTCGTTGGGTAAGTCCCCAGGACACTGGATCCCTTTTTCCCTCTTAGTGCAGAAATGCCCAGGTGGGAAGAGTGTTGTTGTGGGAATTTGATATGGCTTCTGTTTGTTTAGCCGATGCCTGCTCCCCTTTGATCTCATTCCCACTCCTCTCGGCGGATTAGCAGCTGCTGTACTCAGTGTTATGCCGGTGTGTCCCACGGGGCTAAAGCCTTTGCTGGTGCGAGTCAGTGGCCCAGTGGTTTCAAGGGTGCTGCTGCAGTAACACATCTGAATCGGGGCCTTTACCTTTTGGCTTGTAGCATCCACTTTGTGCAGCAAGTGGGGATTCAAACAATTGGCCACATTGTCAGAGGGGCAGCGCAGGTGGGAATTTGCACCCACAGGCAGGCGGGATGGTGCTCACGCCGGCTTCTCTGCGAGTGAGCGCAAACCTGCACTTGCACGTCTCCGTCACGCTTCATGGCCTAGCTGAACATGCCCCACGGGGATGCATTCGCACTTCTGCTCTTGTGCTGCTTCTGCCAGTGGTTCTACCTGAGACGTAGCCTCTCGCCACATTATGAAAAGCCAGAGGCAAGAACTGCAGAGGTTGTGTTGTGAGTTATATGCTTAGTCTGGTGGAAAGCCAAAGCAGAGTTGCCAATTGCTGAAAATGATTTTTATGGACAGTATAAAAAAAAACAAAAGAGAGAACCAACCTTTTTAGGGACACATTCCTGCATCATATAAAGACGGCTCAAAAGGACAAAAGTGAACAACAGTCAGTGCTTTTATTCATGCATCACAACACTCCCGAGCGGACAGTATGAAACCCAGCCCAGCTGGCAAATCGAGTCGGGCAGCAGGTTGGGGAAATAGGGAAGCTCATAACACAGGTAGCTGGAGCCACAGCACATTGGTCAAGCATGTGGACTCAATCCTATTCCTATTACAGCCCCCCGCCCAACCCAAACCATCCTCCCCTCTGGGAGCTGCTCACCCAGCTGGGACTGGGCACCCCTACCAGTGACCACCCTGCTGTGACTGTACCCCAGCCCCAGCCGCTGAGCCAGTACGGGTGTGTGCGGCATGTTCATCCACTGAAAGTGGCTGCTCTGCGGACGTCAGTGATGCTGAAGGAGAATTTGAAGCCAGAGGCAGGTCAGAGCTGCCCCCACCAGCCAGCAGCAGGTTGGAGGGGGCCCCCAGCAGGAGAATTCCCCTCTCGACCCTGGCCTTGGGGACTGCCCCGTGGCAATGGGGAAGGGGGACTCCTCAGCTCCTCTGCAAAGCTCAGTGGTTTTTTACTGGTATCTAAATGTTCTTGATGGAATTCATGGACAGGTCCAATTTTATCTCTTTTTTCTATGGACTGTCTGAATTTACTGAGAGTTGGCAACCCTGGGCCGGGTCCCTTACAGCATTATATCCTGGTGTTGCTCCATTGACTGCAGTGGAGTTACTCTCCTTTGTACTGACGTAAGTGAAAGGCGCCAGGCCCACGTGTGCAGTTGTAAGAGACCAAGCAATTATATTCCCTACTTCCCAGGTCCTTGTGAGTACACACGCTCAGACTGTAAGGCCAGCAGCGGCAATTATCATCTGCTTTGACCTTCTGAAAAACACAGGCCATGGAATGTCACACAACCATTCCTGTAGCGAAGGGAACTGCCCTTTCCTTGTCTGCCATTAAGCCCTCCTGAGCCCAATAATTTGTGCTTAAACTAGAGCATCTCTTCAAGAAAGGCAGCTGGTCTTGACAGTCAAAGATGCTGAGTGACAGAGCATCCACCACATCTCTTGTCTTTCTGTCTTTTGTACTAATTACGATGAGTTCCCCCAGGCTACAAGCTGCCACTGGGGTACCCCTTGAACTCTCTGGCATAGAATCATAGAATACTAGGACTGGAAGGGACCTTGAGAGGTCATTGAGTCCAGTCCCCTGCCCTCATGGCAGGACCAAATACTGTCTAGACCATCCCTGCTAGACATTTATCTAACCTACTCTTAAATATCTCCAGAGATGGAGATTCCACAACCTCCCTGGGCAATTTATTCCAGTGTTTGACTACCCTGACTGGCAGGAAGTTTTTCCTAATGTCCAACCTAAACCTCCCTTGCTGCAGTTTAAGCCCATTGCTTCTTGTTCTATCCCCAGAGGCCAAGATGAACAAGTTTTCTCCCTCCTCCTTATGACACCCTTTTAGATACCTGAAAACTGCTCTCATGTCCCCCCTCAATCTTCTCTTTTCTAAACTAAACAAGCCCAATTCTTTCAGCCTTCCCTCATAGGTCATGTTCTCTAGACCTTTAATCATTCTCGTTGCTCTTTTCTGGACCCTCTCCAATTTCTCCTGGGCTCCCTTAGTCACTGTTAGGCTGACCAGCTGCAGACTGCTCCCACTCCTACATTTACACAAACGTTTACACAGGCAGCGATACACCCAGATGCAGTTATATGAAGGCTTCTCTCCCAGCTCCATAGCCTAGGCCCCCAGAGCTGTACTGTTTTGCCCTGATCAAAAGCCTAACCAGTATAAGTTTGTTACCCAGTCTACCTCTCCCTCAAAGTGGAGAGGACAATGCACTAGTTTTTGTTCCTCAGCAGTTTCCCTCAAGCAAAACACACTGTTTTAGGTACAAATATAAAACAGATTTATTAGCTGCAGACAGAATTTAAGTTATAAGTAGTGAGAATACAGATCAAAGCAGATTGCCTAAGAAATAAACAAAAACTTAATCTAAGCTTTAAAAACTAGGTTGAGTTTAAATCAAGCAGTGTCTCGCCCTGCTAGCTAGTATAAGCAGGCTACAGCTTTTACACACACAGGCAGGAATTCTTCTGTCCTACCCTGAGTTCCCCTTCCCCTATTTCAGTCTTTGTTCCTCAAGTGTTTCCAGGGATTTTGCTGTAGGGGGAGTGAGGCCCCGTGATTATGTCACTTTCCCCTTTTATCTCTTTTTCCAGCTTGCTAGAAAGATCTTTTGCTGTGCCATGAGTCAAACAGTCTCAATTTGGGCCCATTTTGGGGCCTCTGTGAGGTTTCCATTGTACACGGTTCCTGAGGTAATGCTTGTAAGTGTTTGTATTCTCCTCCATGGGCCATCAGCATTGTGTGGCCTTTTTAATTGTTGTACTGGAAAGACTGCTTGCAGGTGTTCCCCACCTGACAACATGTTTCAGAGGCACATACATAGCAAAACTTCATATCCTATGATAGTACACACAGCTTAACAGGATGTTCATGTTCAACAGGCTGAGACTTTTAAAATGAAACCTTACAAGACAGCATGCAGTGTCAGGCTGACTTGACCTCCATCACAGTATTACCTGAGCACCTCCCAATCTTTAATATATTTAGCTTTGCTCCACCCAAGGGAGGCAGGCAGTGCTATTATCTCCATTTTACAGATGTGGGATTGAAGCCCGAAGAAGCGAAGTGACTTGCCCAAGGCCATACAGCAAGTCTGTAGCAGAGCAGATAATTGAGTCTTCCAAGTTCTAGTGCTCTAATCACTGGACTCTTCTTCCTCTCCTTGGCAATCTGGTCCAATGGTTAATCACTTTCACTGTTTTAAAAAAATGGCAATTTATTCACCAAACCAGAATCCCACAGGGTTGAAATGCAGACCTCGTTACTTCAGCTTTGTCCAAGCAGTCTGTCAGAGGAGTCAAAAATAAAAGGAACCAGGTGTCCTGGCTTTGCTGCAGAGGAGAGTAGACTGGGAAATAAATAGGAAAAATATCAAGGCTGAAAGAAGAAAGAACTTTGATGCTGCAAGGAGACTAGGGAAAAGGTCTCTTGAAGAAGGAGCAAGCAAAGTGCTCTGGAAAATGTGCAGAAGGAGACTAAAGTCAGTGGGCCTTGTGTCACCCCACCTATGTCTGCACAGCTGTAGCAGTGTGCGTCACTCCATTGTGCAGAGCTGTTGAATAGTGTCCATCATCTGGGCATGCTGTTGGAGATGGGCTACAGAACTTCACAATGTGTTGCCAGGTGGGCATGGGGGGAGGGAACACAAGTTTGTAGTCATGATGACCATGAGATGGTGACTGCAATAACTCGTTGACTCAGCTGCTTTGATTTGCTCTGCCTTGTCCTTTTGTTCAGGTTCATAACTATGGAGGAGTCCTGTCAGAGGAAGACTTCAGTAACTACAACGCCCTAGTAGAGAATCCAGTCCACACGGTGTATCAAGGTAAAGTGTCCCGACAGCTCTGCCTCTCTGCTACATCCCATGGCACGTGATGGTGTCAGTTAGCAAGTTAAATCTGAACAGCCCCCTGTGGCAAGGAGAGAAACGAGTGGGAGGAAGCAAAGCTGTCTGAGCTGTAACCCCTTCAAAGCACAGGCTTGTGTCAGCAGGGCAAGATCCACACAGGGCATTAAGATTGTTGCACTCGCCTTCCAGCTGCAAACTGAGAGAGACTGTGATGCATCATGAGTTAAGGGTGCTTCCAGCATTTGACACAGGTTCCTGTTTTCCTTGATAGGACAAGCTTATATACTCTGATTCTCACTTGTGGATACTAGCAAGCCACAGAGAGCTTTGGGACATTTTCATAGAATCCTAGAATCCCAGGGCTGGCAGAGCCCTCAGGAGGCACCGAGTCCAGCCCCCTGCCCAAAGCAGGACCAACCCCAACTCCATCATCCCAGCCAGGGCTTGGTCAAGCCGGGACTTAAAAACCTCTAGAAATGGAGATTCCACCCCCTCCCTAGATAACCCATTCCAGTGCTCCCCCCCCCTCCTTGGGGAATAGTTTTTTCTAATAGCCAACCTAGACCTCCCCCACTGCAACTTGAATTTTGATGTAGTATCATCACACAGAGTCACAATTTGACCACATGTTGGTGCCAAATCCTGTAAGCCTTGACATGTTAGCCCATGAGTTTTGCACAGCTTGTGCATGACCATTAAAGGATCTGCAAAGGGGAAAAACACAAGGTTATGCCCTTTTTAGTCTCTTTTGAAGGGGTGGGCAAATACCAGGGTTAGCCCCTGGCAGGCCCCCACTGCTAGGTGCTGGCCATCACAGCTTCCGTTAGCTGAGGATTGCCATTCTCGACCAACGGGAGCTGTGGGAACCTGTGTCTTGGTCCGTGCCAGATTCTCAACTAGTGTCGATCCGTACATCTTCCATGACGTCCAAGGATTATACTGGTTTGCAGCAACTGGGAACCAGACTCTAAAAAAAGTTTTAAACAAGCTGAATGCAAATCCCTTCCCTCACGCTCAATTTTATTTTACCTTCTTGGGTCTGTGAGCTCAGAAACATACTCATTCCCCAGATTTAAGTCTATGATGTAAGAAAGAAGCAGGAAAAAGCCGTCCAGGTCTTCTTCATCCATCAAAAAGGAGAAAAATGGATCATTATCCTATTGTACTATGGTGGTTGTCATTTGGGTACCCCGTGGTGCTAAGTGGTCACTTTTCAGCCCCGTCACTTTCATTTTGCTAGCCCGGTTTCCTTTCTAGAACACCAGCCCCATGGCTACCTCCCCCGGAACCCACCACTCCTCTGTGATTCCTCTCCCTGGGCACAGCCTGCCACAGTCACTCCTCCGCTTCTTACCCTCTGGCTGCCCTTTACTAGTTCTGTCCCCTTGGTCTCTTTAGGCACACCTGCTCTGACGCAGGCGAACGAGGCCTGGTCTGTCTCCTCACGGGGACCAGCTGTCCTGTGACACTTGTCTTTCAAGAAAGCTTTTTAAAACCTCCCATAATTACCTCCCCACAAGTGAAAGGATTGTTTTCCTTTCCGTGGGTGACTGCGCAAAGTGGTAGCGAGACAGCAGCCCCATCAAACCTTGACAAAGCAGCTTCTAATGTGAGTATCTTTATTCCACTCTTCTCATTTTGTCAGGTCACCTTGTTCTCAGCCCTCCACCTCCACACGCAGGTCCTGCCTTGATCACAGCTCTAAATATCCTGGAGGGCTTTAATATCAGCCAGATAACCAGGGAAAATACCCTCCATTGGATAGCAGAGGTAAGACTGGGCTAACCACATGGCTGTCTTCTCTGTGTTGATGTAAAAAAGGTCTGTTTATCTAAAGATGGTGTAGAGTCTGGAGCTAACAGTCTGCTAAGGTTTAAAACTGGGCATTGATGTTGTATCAGACATATGCAGGGCACCTCTGAACCTGATTATCTGAACCCCTTGAACAGCGCTCCTTGCCAAGGGATATCTGTTTGCCATGTACTGCCTGTGTGCCCTCATTGCCACAGGTGAGCATAGTCCTGTCTGTTTCCTCAGGGTACGTCTAGACTACAGCAGGTACTTTTGAAAAAGCGAGCTGCAGGCAGTCTGGATGCTCTCTTTCGACAAAGCGCTTTCAAAAAAAGGCCTTATTCCTCGTAAAATTCCTCCCTCAAGAACCGCCCCCTGCACAGCACCTGTGCCTCTCTGCCCAGTCCCTTGAGGCCTCCCCTTGCTCACCAAAGAGTAGCAGGCAGGGAATGTCTTGAGGGAGGGGGCAGAGAAGTCTAAGCGGTGTAGGGTAGGACCTTGGGAGAGAGGGTGGAGAGCCATGGGTGGGGGGACTTCGGCAGGCGGTGCTGAGTTGGAGCAGGGTCTGAGGCAGAGTGGGGGCGGAGACGGGCAAACCTTTGGGGAAGGAGGTCGAGCTGCGGGAAGACCTCAGGGTGGAGCAGGTGATAGGACCATGGTTCAGGCACCGGTGTGACCCCTGCAGCCTTCTAGGGAGCTTCCAGCACTCTTGGCCAGCCTCGTCAATGCAGGATGCTCATCAAAGGGTAGCAGGAAATCTTGGCTACATACTCCTGGCCTGCAGAAGGGCAGCCTTTGTCAGCTCGATCTACCTTTGAGGTAACCACACCTTATGCTGCCTGTGAAACTTGTTGCTCAAGATGGTGGTTACTAGACAGGGAGTTGGGGCAAAATAGAAGCTAGATTCGACATGCTGGGAGAGTAAGTATCTCTCTGGACTATGGAAGCTGAGACTTCCAGGGCCACCTAAATATTTCTTTGTTTCTTTCTTTCTGTTCAATTTAGACATTAAAAATAGCACTGGAGCTAGCTAACAGCTTGGGAGACCCAGGCTTTAATGCCTCCATCTACCAAAGTGTAGAAGACATGGTCAGGTACGTCTGACTATGAGGAATGCTTTGGTGAATGAATGAATATTAATCCTTGTAATACTCTGTTATATGATGGAACTAGGTCCTTGTTCTGTGTCTCTTTCTCTTTTACTGATGAAAAGCCAGTTCCCAAAGGGACCTGAGAAGCATGAAGGATCCTGTATTCAGGGGTCACCAAGTATCCATTTATTTCTCAGCCCATATTCACATGAGCAAAACCAAATGTGGCCCTGGGAGATTGTGGGGAATTGAAGGGTGGTTTCCTAATTTAGATTGTTTCTATAATATGCTGAACCCAGAGGTTTCTCAGCCATTTTTACCCCTTGTGGCAAAGCTCCAGCCATGCCCCATGGGTATGGTTATCGTTTGCCTCAGAGTGACCCTCCCCACTGCCTCTTACCTTTTCTGGGGGCCAGAGTCACCACTTACTGAGCCAGTCAGAGGATTGGGGGGAAACCCCTCCGTGATCCTGGCCTCCTTTTCCAGGAGCAGATGTTTTAGCGGACCCACCCACTACACCAGGTTCTGGCCCAGGGACCGTAGGGTATGTCTACACAGCAAAGTTATTTCGAAATAACAGTTGTTATTTCAAAATAACTTTCCTAGCGTCTATACAAGCCAACTGCTATTTCAAAATTAATTTGAAATAATAGAGGGCTTATTTTGAAATTGGTAAACCTCATTCCACGAGGAATAGTGCCAATTTCAAAATTGCTATTTTGAAATAAGCGCTGTGTAGACACTTATTTTGAAAGAGGGGGCCTCCAGCCCTTCCCAGAGTGCCCTGCTGGCCACAAGGTAACTCCTGACCTGATCCCTGCTGGAACCAGTTCCGGCTGGCCTTAAAAGTTCCGGCTGGCCTTAAATGCAATTCAGCGTCTAATCAGTGTGGACATGCTATTTTGAAATAGCAAAAAGCTATTTTGAAATGCCTTTTATGTGTAGATGCATTATTTTGAAATAAGATATTTTGAAATAACTATTTCAAAATTAGATATTTTGAAATAATGCTGTAGTGTAGATATACCCCCTCCCCCCCCCAGGTAGCAGCAACTGATGGGATTTCCCTCTAGCCCCCAATACAGCAGCCTTTTCCCTGGGCCACGTCCCCAAAAGCTCCCCTAGTTCCTTCTCCCTGGTACCTGGCACAAACACTCCTTTCTCAGTCCTCAGCTCCCCAGCAACACGCTTCCTTCTCTCAGTCCTTCACTCTTCTCTTTCCCCCTCCTCTACCCAGGGGAAAGCCCAGCAGGCCTCAATTGGCTGCAGGTGCCTGATTAGCCTGCTGCTTCAGGCAAGCTCTTAACTAGCCACAGGTGCCTGCCTGCCTTGATTACGTGGCTACAGTCTGATAGTTTATTAAGGAACCTGATAAGCGTTCACCCAGCTCCCACTGTGTTTGCCTTGCACCAAAGTATTGTAGCCAGCTGCCCTGGGTCTGTCACAGCCTCTAAAATCCCTTTTCCGAGGCTCAAGAGGAGGCTCCCACCTCCCCTCCAAGTGCATCCAGTGCCAGTCAGAAGTTGTACATTAAAGTCACTGTGCTCTCTCCTTCCCCCAACTCCCAGAATGGTGCATCATGTCTCCCTAATGCCCCCTGCTCAATGTGGGATTGAAACATTGTCTTATAGCTCCAATCAGCTAATGCAACAACGCTGGATGCAGTTCAATCATGTCTACACCGGCACCTACACCAAGCACAGTCCCGGCTCAGCCGCAGCCACTGCTGACCCCTGTGGTCAACAATGGGTAATTTTGCTAGTGTAGTCAAGGCCTTTCTGTATAGCAAGAACACAGTGAAGTGGCTCTCAGGTCTTATCTACACAGCGCAGGAGTCAGGCTAAGGTGTGATTCCTGTTAGAGAGATATACCACAGCTCTTCCATGAACAGTGCCAAGCACAGTCAGAGCTGTGCCTAAACCATGCAGTGTGTGGATGTAATTTGATCACTAACAAACCATCAAGTCCAGTCCCCTCCCCTCATAGCAGGACCAAGCACCATCTAGACCAGTGGTTCCCAGACTTTTCGGCATCACGCCCCCTTTTTGATTTTTGAGAAACACTCGCGCAGCAAAACTTGTTGAGCAAAAAAAAGGAACTGACTGGGGCCAAAAAACAAAAATAGCAGCACAACTTGGGGGGGGGGGAGAATTGAAGGGGGGGGGCTGGCTTGCCTCCTGCCCCCCCCTGGAATTTCTTCATACCCCCCCAGTTTGGGAACCCATGATCTAGACCATCCCTGAAAGGTGTCTGTCCAACCTGCTCTTAAATATCTCCAGAGATGGGGATTCCACAACCTCCCTGGGCAATTTATTCCAGTGTTTAACCACCCTGACTGGCAGGAAGTTTTTCCTAATGTCCAACCCAAACCGCCCTTGCTGCAGTGGAAGCTCATTGCTTCTTGTCCTGTAAAAGAAAGCCTGCGCACTGCGCGAAGTCCTTCCTGGAGTTTGGCTTTGTTAACAAAGAAGTGACCAATGATCCCACATGTAATTGGCTCCATCTTTCTTCCCAGACCTGACTGCTCCTAGTGTTCCTCCCTCAAGGCTGCTCCACTCGCATCCTAGAGTTTCTTTCTCCAGAGACCCTCCCACCTCCTTTTTAGCCAGATGGGGTCATGAGCATAGTAACATCTGCCTCATTGAGTTAGTCGAAGATGAACTAACCTGTAAGCAGGAGCAGCAACGGCTAAGAAGTGTTCCAGGCTGGTAGGGGTCAGTACAGCCGCTTTCGTTCACAACACAGCTATGTGCTGGCTCCTTCGGTGTGTCCATTCCCAGTATGTCCCGACAGAGACCCAAGGGAGCCGTCACCTTTCTTCCTTTTGCCAGCCTCATGTATTTTGGTAGCGCCCAGGAGCCCTCATCAGGGACCCGGGTCCCACAGTAAAGTCAAAGTGATGCTCCATTGTTTTTACCTGCCATGCATCCATTGAACCTCACTGAACTCCTGGCAACAGGGCGGGGGCTTCAACCTACAATCTGCCTAACCACCGACCCCCGAGTTGCCTCCCTGATGCAGTGGCTGAGATGGCTTATTTCCTTCCATTTGACATGGCAGAGGCGCTCGCTTTCCACAGTGCAATTGAAGAACCTCCATTCTTTGTAGGCGCACCCACTGAGCCGGTGATGAGTACTGCCCGATGGATGTGTATATTAGATGTGCCCTAAAGAGGAGATGCTTTATTTCCTAAGCTCCCTGCTTTTCCGTCCCCATATCCTGTCTTGCAGTAAATCAAAGGCAGGGTTGCTGCGTCAGCGGATTAACGACTCGCAGGCTGTCCCTTCTGGTATCAGTATCCCACAGTTCTCCACCGAGAGCGACTCCCCTGCTAGCCAGGTCCTTGTTATGGGACCTGATGACTACATCGTAGCAGTTGTGAGGTAATGGATTTGGTTTTTCAGTCTCGGCGGTGGGGAGGGAGGGAAGAGTTTGAGATGGGAGAGCAGAGGTGGTGAACGACTCTAGAGACTGATCACGACAGACCTAGCCTCATCACCTAATGCTCACTGGTTCAGCTTGGCCTGGGAGCCGGATCCAGCCTGCCTAACACTTTGCTCCGGCCTGCGGAGTGCATCTGGCTGCTTTCTATTTATAGCCTGCTGCCCATGCACCGAATTTCCAGGTGGTGGCTCAGGCAGCAGGATCCTACTTAAATGGCTCACAGCTGCCATTCATGGTGCTACCCCAGCAGGGGCCAGAGCTGCGAGCCTTTTAAATAGCCACAGCAACCACAGGCGGCTGCCAGGCAACAGGATAGCAGTGGTGCCAGGACTTGTGAGCCCTTTGCTGTGTTTTTAATTCAAAACCTGTGGCTCTCACAACTCTTGTTACTAGCCCCAGCCCCGCCCTTTCCAACCCAGGCCCTGCCCCTCCCAGGGGTGGAGCCGGCCCATGACCACATAGCAAAATTCATTCATTGCCCCCACCCCCTCCTGGAAAAATTATTGTCCCCCCGGCCTCGGCTGTAAGTGATTGCAAGTCCTTGCCATCTCTGGCTGTTCAGTGGCCTCTCTGAAATGACTTGGTGGTTTCAGTGTAGTTCCTATCGGAGGGGTGTTTGTATCACAAATGCCTGCTTGGCAGAGAGTGCAAGGATGACTGGAGCTGGGAGACTGAAATACCTTCTCACTGAGAGGTGGCGCTCCGGGCCTATTGGCAGGGCTGAGTGGAAGAAGCTTACACTGCTGCTGCCCGTTCCCAACCTGTTCCACATGTATACTCAGCGACCTTCCTTCTCTAGGGTTGTCAGGCTGGACCTTTCACCAGCACTATAACATCTGCTGAAGACTCTCCACCAAGGCAGAAGGGGGAATGTGGGGCCGTGCTCTGACAGTACCAAGCCTTGGCATGCTATATGATTACTGGATGCATTTTCACAAGGTTTCTTTGTCTTCCTCTTCAGTTCCCTGAACCGCCCATTTGGAAGTGGAATAATAACGCCCTCTGGAATCCTTCTAAACAGCCAGATGTTGGACTTTTCCTGGCTGAACAGCACGTCAAACCACTCATCTTCCAGCCTGGTAATGAAGAATTCTGAATTTGAACTTTTGAGTTTGACTCCTTTTAGTCTCATGTACCTTCTGGGGGAAAGGCTGTATATGCAGGCTGAGCTCTCCAGCTCTCTCTTCCCTTGCAGGCTTCTGCAGAGAAACAGAATACAGGTTACAGGAAGAGGTTGCCTGATCTTCCTATGTGAAATAGCTTAATTTTGCAAGGAAACTATGTAGAGTCTGGTGTGGCTGCAATAAAGAAAGCAGACTTCCTGCAGCCTGGGCGCACACTATATTGACTGGAATTAAGGATTACAGGCAGTCCCCGACTTACGTGGATCCGACTTATGTCGGATCCCTAGATACGAACGGGGGTGAGGCAACTGCCGCACATGCGCAGCAGCATCCCCGGGGCTCGCTCACGTGGATCCTGGGATCCATCTCCTCCTCCTGCCGGCTCTGACTGGTCTCCGCCTGCAGCAGCAGCTGGCCTAGGGAATGGGGTCCCGCAGAGCTGCTGGGCGGAGGAAACGTGCCTCCCCAAGTCCGCTGCCAGCCGCGGTCTCGCAGCCTGCTCCCCGGTCGCCGGCCAGCCTCAGCCCGTCTTCCCCCTCCACCCCCCTTCTTCCCCCTCCACCGCTCTATACATGCCGGGGCTCGCTCACACGTGGAGCCTAGGTGCAGCAGCAGCAACTGGCCGTAGGGAATGGGGTCCTGCAAAGCGGAGGAAACGCGCCTCCCCAAGTCCGCTGCCAGCCGCGGTCTCGCAGCCTGCCCCCCGGTCGCTGGCCAGCCTCAGCCCCTCTTCCCCATCCACCCCCCTTCTTCCCTCTCCACCCCCCCTCTATACATCCCAGAGGCTCACTCACCTGGATCCTAGGATCCACCTCCTCCTCCTCGGGCTGGCTCCTCCGGCTCTGGCTTCTGCCTGCAGCAGTAACTGGCCACTGGGAAAGGTGTCCCGCAGAGCTGCCAGCGGAGGAAAAGTGCCTCCCCATGCCTGCTGCGGCCTCGCAGCCTGCATGCCCTCCTTCCCCCAGCAACAAGGTGCCCTCCTCCCCCAACTAACAAGCTGCCTCCCTCCCCCCAGCAACCTGGCTGCCCCCGGCAACAGGCTGCCAAATCAGCGGACAAAAGCAGCCTCTCCCTGGGCAAACAAAGACTCCACCAAAACAAACAAAGTGCTGGCCTCATTGTGTTAGCAAAAAAAGGACCCTCCTCCTAGAACCCTGGGTGGTGTGTGGAAATAAAGCTATTAGCTCAAAGCATGGTGCAGAGCTGTTTGGTATTTGATGAGTTACTCTTTTAGTCCTGAGTTTGTCACAGGGACAGAAATAGATGTGAAATCTTCTGAACAGGGGAACAGACAGCAAAACAAACATTAGAGGGGAGTTAACCTTTCCCTATGCTATCCAAAACTAAAAAAAATGTTTGGCTAGAGTTTCCCCTACAATATGTACCAGTTCCGACTTACATACAAATTCAACTTAAGAACAAACCTACCGTCCCTATCTTGTACGTAACCCGGGGACTGCCTGTATATTGAAAATTATTGCTCTCCAGGTTGAAAAAGTGATAGACAATGGAAACTAAATCCTGAGTTCTCAGACAGAGACCATCATCCCTATGCTGGTCACTTCCTGTGCTCAACAGAGGTGCGGCGTTGCTATGTATTGTTAAACAGTTCCACTCCAGAGCTAGCTGCATTTTAGTAGCGGGTGAAGTGACTTCTGTATATTGTTTGTAAAAAGCTTTGGGGGCCTTGAAATGGAAGGTATGGAATAAATGTAAACTAATATTATTATAGCCGTGCAAATGGCATCATAATTAAGCCATGTTAGGGTGATTGACTCAGAAATGTAAAGAAAAATGTTAACGTGAGCAGTTTATAGGGAAAACGTTTGTTCTGATCTGTTTAATAGTTTTGGGGGATATTTTATTCATCAACAGACAAATCTTATTCAGCCGGGGAAAAGACCCCTGTCCTTTTTACTGCCCACTATCGTTCGGCCGTCAGATGGGATGTGTGGAACCTACCTGTGTCTGGGCGCTAACAATGGGGACAAAGCCTTGAGCAGCATCACGCAGGTCAGTTCTGAGTGCTGCATCTAAGCATGTTCTGAACCACTCACAATGGGGAAGGTCGAAGCTGTCTTCCAGTGTTTCTTCATGCTGGCATTTGCATTCACTGTGCTGTGGGTTTCCTACCCAAACGGGTTGGTTATCAGAACAAACATGAAATATGCAGCTCCTGTTTCTGAAGAGGTTGAACTATTGTGTTAATGAGCATTGAGTTCTGCTTCATGGTAAGAGCCCCGGGAGACTGAAGTCCTCCAGGAAAACAGGCAGTGGTGTGACGTGGAAGATGTGTTCCGCTTGTAACCATATTCCCAGTTGGGTCATCTGGAGGGGTGGGTCTAAACTGGTATAAGCATCTGCTTGCGGAGCTAAAGGAGCAGGTCTAATAGTCCAAAGGAAGCAATATGTTCATATAGGGTCATGCCACACCGTGTGAGCATAAGTTAAGCTTCCCCCTCCCCCAAAGCACCTTACACCCGACCTGGAGGGATTGTCAGCCAGGTAAAGAGGAGAACTCTGTTTCCTCCCCCATTCAATCTTTGCACTTTCTGCTGAGGCTGCCACCAAAAACGTTAACTGGCATCAACGAGTAATGACTTTCTGTTGCTGCTAGCCAGCCTGGATCCAAACGGGGGATCTAGAAGTGATCGGATCAGTCCTCTGAGCCATGCAGTCCAGGATAACTGATGATCTAAAGCAATATTTGCTGTCCATTCTTGTCGCAAAGGGCTTGTCTACATGGCTAGTTAGTAGGAGCCGAGCTAGAGTGCAAATGTGCAGGACTCCAGAATGGTATGGTACCAGAGTTCAGGTGACTAGTGTTCTGTACACCCGCAGCCTGGCAATCCCTGCCCCACCACAGACAGGGGCTGCTCCAGTGTCCTGTCTTCAGCGTGCCCAGGCCAGGAGCAGTCCCTGTCTGCAGCAGGTGGGAAGTGCTCCAGCCCCCACCAGTTAACCTTAACTGATAAGCCACACCCTGTTCAGGTTCAGGATTACCGGTTAACCGGTTAAACCTTTACATCCCTACTCTGTAAAGGTTTTACGACCTTCCACAACCTGTTAAAGGGTCGTCTTCTTTAGAAATGTTAGAAAACTGTAGGAGGATGAGAATGGAATTTTGGTTCTTATCCCTAGTGGCAGCTCAGTTTAGCACATTCCTTCCTGAAATCCTTCATATTGTGAGCTTTGCAAAGAGCTCTTCCTAATTTATCATTTGTAATGAGATGGAGCACCTGCTGGTGGCATGGTCTAGAGAACATGAGCTATGAAGGAAGACTGAAGGAATTGGGCTTGTTTAGTTTGGAAAGGAGAAGACTGAGAGGGGACATGAGAGCAGTTTTCAGGTATCTAAAAGAGTGTCATAAGGAGGAGGGAGAAAACTTGTTCTTCCTGGCCTCTGAAGATAGCACAAGAAGCAATGGGCTTAAACTGCAGCAAGAGAGGTTTAGGTTGGACATGAGGAAAAAATTTCTAACTTTCAGGGTGGTGAAACACTGGAATAAATTGCCCAGTGATTGTGGAATCTCCATCTCTGGAGATATTTAAGAGTAGGTTAGATAAATGTCTATCAGGGATGGTCTAGACAGTACTGGGTCCTGTCGTGAGGGCAGAGGACTGGACTCAATGGCCTCTCGAGGTCCCTTCCAGTCCTAGTGTTCTATGATTCTATGATTCTATATGTAACAGTGCTGGATTATTAAAAGTCTAGTGTAGACCTAAATTTTACTCTGAGTGACTTAACTTCATTGAAGGAAGAGGAAGATTAAAGCCACCCACCTGCCTCCTAATGTTCTATCAGAAGGATTCACTTTTTGGTCATAAAAATAAAATACCTTTCGGAGATTTCCCTGGAGTTTCAGCCTTATAGCTCCCATGGATATAATGGGAATTATATGGAAAACCTCATGCAATTCTAAAAATAGGCCCCTTAGGGATTCTTTTTTAAAAAAACAAAGAGCCTCCAAAATGTGCCTGCAGGATCTTCAGGTGCACTTATTTACATGTATTAAAAACGTGCCTTTTGTTCATATAATGTAGGTAATTATGTAAAAAAAGGTCTGTTTTTCTGTGTAAATTGATATTTGAAAATGTTGGGATTGGAAATTGGGAAGCTGCTTTGCATGCACATTCCTTAGTGTTGGAATTAAGTTGTTAATATTTTGGATCTTTTTCTTGTGTAGGTTTTAGTAAATGTTTTAACACTTAACAAGAACCTGAGTGAGAGTCTGTCACTGGGTCGGCTGCACCCACAGGTTCAATCCAACATCCTGCAAGTTGACAGTGAGTATGGAGATCAGCACAGATCTTGGTGGACAACATTTCTGTCATGTCAAAAAAGAAAGAAAGATTTTTCTTACACGTCTGGGGTTACTCTGCAGTCTGCTTCAAGGAGACAGCATTTTTAAATGAGCAATGCAGCTGGTGGGGAGAGGGAAGTCCATGTCAAACTACAGTGTGCTTAGGAATAGGAAGGGGGAGTAGGAGGGAGAGATTTAAGGGACCGACAGCTAAATTTAAAATTCTAGCAATTTAGTCAATTTCTTTTGCTCCTCAGCTCTTCAATAATCTCAGTGTACAAAAATACGGCATAAATGATAAAAAACAAGTGGTTTGGGGTGCTTCTATTTTTGAGGCCCAACTTGAGACTCCTGCATGGGGCCTTGATTTTCAGAAAACTCTGAGCACCTGAAGTTTCAATTGCCTTCATCTGCAGTTGTTGGCACTTGCTTGTTTGGAAAACCAGGCCCCAGGTATCGTAAGTAGTAAGGTAACTTTAAACCAGAAGCAGGCCAGGTAGGGAACACTTTCTCATTCCAGGAAGAGAGATTCCAGTTGGCTTTACAGTCTCACGAGATTCAGAGAAACGTCTCAACTTTTGACCCAAATCTGTGAACCATCTGAAGTTCACCCATTAACTTCTCTTTGGCATATAGCTGATAAGGAGCATGAAAGACTTCCCCTCTTGTGCAAAGGAAAAGGGGTGCTGGTTTCTTTTGGTTATGTGAAGAACTTGTATGTGAAGAACTTGAATGGTGCTTCTTACTAGACCATTAGATTTATACTTATGTGATGCCACTCTGCCTCCCTAAGGACAGGGCACTGATGGGCAGTTTCATTGGCACAATGGATTAGAGAGCTAAAGTAAAAACTTGGAACTCGTGCAATAATGGTTTCGACTAAAATAACCTCCTCTAAAATCTTGGCAGGTGAATTTCCTGAAGAAGACATTGATTTCCTGGAAGCCAGAGGTCATCAAGTAGATAAAGTTGACGTGCTGTCACTGGTTCACGGAGCCAGGAGAACTAACAACTTCATCATTGGTGTGAAAGACCCAAGAAGCATGGATGCTGCAGGAGCTACAATATTATAGCAAGTGCCAGATGGTGGGTTCATTGGATAAGGCTTTAAACAACAACAACAACAGTTATGTGCATGTTCTGAAATGGCCTGGGGTGGAACAAGTTGTGGGTTTGTGCATTGCTGAACAGACTTTCTGCATTCCCGCCCCAAGCAAAGTAGTAGTGGCTTGGAAAGCTACAACACGGCTCTATGATTTTGTAAAAAATAATCTGAGTTGTAATAATCTTGGTTGTTATAAAAGGAATGCTGGGAATACACTTTTACTTTGACAGTGCCCCATGAGCAGGTTTAAACATTTTAATGCCAGCCTTAAACATTTTAATTTAATTGGCAGAAACATTAGCAAAAGAGATGACAAACAGAACAAAATATTTTGTGTCAAACAGACAATTGCTCCTGTTGCTGTAATAATCACCCCCCTCCATTCCCTGGCTTGACACACTTATCTCATATACATCAATATATAATACAGATTGATGGGCTGGTTCTAGGCACTCCTACCTGGAACTTCAGGTATTCCCCATGGGTCAGCTGATTTTTACTAGCATGGATATTCCTATATCAACTCCATTCATGTGTCCTACACATCTTTAGTACCCTTATGTCTCCTTCACACTCAGTGTTCTGAATTAATTTACTATATAGACTCACTGGGTATCTGGACTTGGAATCAGACTACGTCTACACTGGTAAAAATGGCACCCGGAGTTCACAACTGGTGTCTTCCAAACGAGGTCCACTGTGGGTCTCACTGCAAGTTGTAATGTAGAAAGAGTTTGTGTAGGAGCAGGGCTTTTATAACACTGTCTCATCTAATCCTGCTCTGAAAAGGTAAGTCCCTCCCTTTCACGAGCACCAAATTCACGTCAGCACTTCAAGCCAGTACTTAAGTACTGTTGTCGTGGATGTATTAGAAAACTCAAGTTATAGATAGGACAGGAAACACAGGGACAACTACTTAAATAATATTTTTAGAGTCCCCAGCATCCAACATAGACTGAAGGAAGAATTCAGCATTTGACTTCTTAGTAAAAATGCGGAAATAAAAAGTGTGATCATTGCACAGTTTCATTCTGGTCACTGTTTAACACCTCTGTTTATGTCTACCAGTAAGTTATAGACAGTCATTCAGCATTTAAAGATTTTTTTAAAATTATTTTTGTCATTGTTTTCACAGCCTATCCTGTTCTGTTTCTTTTGTGATGCTAATATCTCTATGCTGGTCACTGTACAAATTACATATGTATGTCTGCTTAGAGTTGTCTTGGTATTTCCTGTGATGTTTTCATTAAAAGAATTCCAGAACTTGTCAGCCTTGAGAGACCAATGAGCTGGAATATTGTGACTACCATCTTGTTCATATTATACCTTTTTATGGCTCAAGTGCAGTTTAATGTTCAGCATTCTTAAGTGTTCTTTATAGATTCAGTGAACTACCAGATTATTAAACTAATAATTCTTTTCATTTATGTAGTTTCTGTCAGATGGAGATCTCTAAATTTTAAAATGTTAACTAATAAAGTCAAATGACACATACTGGAGAGATCCCTTTCATGCCATATTGGAATGCAGACACCTCTAAATTAGACCAAGATGGCTATTAAGCAGACATGAATAAACTAAAAGGCTACGTCTACACTGGCCCCTTTTCCGGAAGGGGCATGTAAATTTCATGAGTCGTAGTAGGGAAATGCGCGGGGGATTTAAATATCCCCCGCGGCATTTAAATAAAAATGTCCGCCGCTTTTTTCCGGCTTTTAAAAAAGCCGGAAAAGAGCGTCTACACTGGCCCCGATCCTCCGGAAAAAGTGCCCTTTTCCGGAGGATCTTATACCTACTTCGAAGTATTACCCTAAGTATTACCCTAAGTATTACTTCGAAGTAGGAATAAGATCCTCCGGAAAAGGGCACTTTTTCCGGAGGATCGGGGCCAGTGTAGACGCTCTTTTCCGGCTTTTTTAAAAGCCGGAAAAAAGCGGCGGACATTTTTATTTAAATGCCGCGGGGGATATTTAAATCCCCCGCGCATTTCCCTACTACGACTCATGAAATTTACATGCCCCTTCCGGAAAAGGGGCCAGTGTAGACGTAGCCAAATATTTTCCATCACAAATCATAAAATCACAGGGTTAGAAGGAACCACAAGGGTAATCTAGTCTGACCCCCTGATCTCGTCTAATTCCCCTGACTCCCGGTGGGTCAGCCATCAGACTAGTTGAGCGGCAAGGAGAAAGGAGAAGTGCGATAGAGAAAGCAACACTCTGCATTCATAATACTGTGCATGGTTTGAAGCAGACTTTGTACGTCTTCCTGGAGAAGGGAAGGAGGCATTTTTGTGCATTGATCCTCATGAGTTGAAATTTGGGATTTTTCTAGGGTAGTGACAGCAATGACCCCCATGTATGGAGGTTTATTGAACATGATTGTAAAACAAGTGTTACAGTAATTGTTATATAAAGTGCTCCAAAAGTGTGCTCATTACTTTACAAATCAGTTGGAAAGATAAAAGTCTTAATTTGCAAATTGAATTCTTTTCACCAGGATAGTTCTGATGCTAAGCCCTGAAGGTCCACTTCCAACTAAAGAGTGGTACTGAACCAACATAGCACTTAAGTGTCCTGATGTGGCATTTTAATAGGATTATTCAAATGTGGTACAGATAAGCATTTTCTTAAGGGCTTTGCCAGATCAGGGCCTACATGGGGAGGGGTAGAAAATGAAAAAAACAAAACAAAAACAGGGAGATGAAATTATACCCAAAGGCCACATCTAACAGAAACAAATGTCTTATGAATAGTTTCCTATTTGCTATGTTTAAAAAGTGGCATCAGAATAGCATATATCTGACAAAAAGTCACTTGTCCTTGAAGCATGGTCAAAACATTTCTACTAGGGCCAGCATGTCTAATCTTGTAAGCAATTAAAATCTCATTAAACATGTCTGCCTCACTCTTTCTCCCCACATTTTTCAGACAACATGTACAGACTCTAGACTAGGAAACACTTTTTGCAGTTCCACTGAGCAGATGAGGGATATTAAGATCTTATAACACATTGTTACATACTATTTAGTTTTGAAAAATCCAAACATGGTCATGAGTACAAGTGTAATAATGCCACATTTATTGTACAGGATCATTTTTATTTGAAAAAAGTGACCTATGAAAATGCATTGTAATCATAACCGTGACTTTGATTGTATTGAAATCACATGTATTTGTGAATTTTTTCACATACAATGAAAAAAGTCTGAAATAAATGCAGATTTTTGTATTATGCACTCACAATGTACTTGCTTCATCCTTTACAGTGTTCTATTGATAGATTGCATTGCAGTATTATTTATATTACTGTAAGATGTACAGGCGCAAAACTGAGAGTAGGGCCCTATTGCAATAAGCACTCTATGTAGCAAGAAACAATCCTTGTCCCAAAGAAACTAGATCTTAGTGTAGCAGAGAAGCCTCAGATCCAAACATCCCCAATTTGGATGGATCCACATTTTGTGGCTCTACTTTCTCAGCTAAACTAATTACAATTTTGTTTGAAAGATTTACATATGTGCATTTCTATTTCTAATATCACTTAGGATAGGGGTAGAGAACCTTGTTTGGGTCAGGGGCTGCTAACCCACAAAAAACATCAGTTGGGCCCAGGCTAGAAGATTTTGTGTGGGAGGACAGAGGTAGAGTGGGGGTTGGAGTGCCAGCGCAGACTCCCCAGTGCGGAGGGAGAGTCCTGAGCCAGATCCAGATCCAGGCAAGCCTTAGGTGCCCCAACCCTGACTTACGGCTTTCCAGTGTTGTGGTATATTCGTTTCAAATGTGAAAACAAGTTGTATATGTCAAAAGGGGCTACTGCTCTTAACAATTTTTTTGAAAAGAAATGTTTATTTTTTTCCTTACAAACCAGTGAGGAAGAGTCACAGTTCCCTCCTAAGCTACATACCTCTGTGGGGTTGTTCTTAAAAACACCGGACTGGATTTGGATCTCACTCACACCTGGGTAAATAAAAAACAGGACTATGTAGCACTTTAAAGACTAACAAGATGGTTTATTAGGTGATGAGCTTTCGTGGGCCAGACCCACTTCCTCAGATCAAATAGTGGAAGAAAATTGTCACAACCATATATACCAAAGGATACAATTTAAAAAAATGAACACACATGAAAAGAACAGAAGAGGGATGGGGGGAAGGTAAATAAGGAGTAGCCCCAGTAACAGCATAAGCTCAAAAAGTGCTCAGCAATGAACCAAAGGGAGGAACCATAGTCCACCTTTGTACCTCTCTATATTTTGGGTCTCTTTGGCTCAAATTAGAACAGCCTCAGGAGTAAAATGTGGCTATCGGGGGGAAAGCAGAACAGCAGCCATTTGCTGCTGTTGCTGAAGTGACACTATTAGTAAGACCTATAATGGAAAACTGAGCTGTTTGTACTTTACGTGATTAGACCCAACAGGTTAAAGGTCTGTTTGTCCATACTGAGCCATTTTGAGAAGCCATGCATTGCAGCCCCATGTACACACTAGCACTGGCCTAAATCAGTTCGGTTGTAATGCACTCTGGGAATCTGTCCTACAACGTACAAGTCACCGTAGAGGTGGCCTGTTGGAAGTGGAGCAACCAGTACGGTTTCTCTCTCAGCTACCTCAGCCTGCAGAGTTCCCTGACAGTCTTTTTGTATGCCCATGAACACACACACACACGCATGGACATACACATATTGATCTGACAAAATGAAGCAAAACAGAGACTATCAACCAGAGATCACAGTTGGACTTCCAGCTACAGATGCCTCCTACATAGTCTGCATCAGCCATTTCCCATTCATACCAACCCTCTACATTTGATGCTCTGCCCCCTTCAGCCTTGGGAAGCATGTTCCTCCTGGTCACTTGCATGGAGAAACTAATCTCTGGATTCTTTGATGAAGAACTGGTTCTTGTAAAAAAATGAAAAAGACTGCTTAATCTTAAGTACACTATATGTCCCTGTGTGACAGGGCGCCTGCCCTGCACTGGCCCTTTAATACCAGGACTCTGGCCTGGAGCCAGGGCTAGCAGAAAGGAGACCAGCGGGAGCCAGTTAGGGCTAGAGAGGGCCCAGCTGGCAAAGACCCAGGACTGCACGAACGGCTGGGGGAAGCCAGCTGAACCCATTAGGGCGAGTATG